GACGTGACGCCGGCGCCATTTTTTTTACAAGATTCCGCAGGCCCTCGCCAGATCGTGACCTTCCCATGACGCAACGAGGGCCTGCGGAGGAGGCAGCCGCAGAGAGGTTGGCGGGGGCCCGGGGCAAAAAATTTTTTGGGGGCCCTCTTTTTGAAAAAAACTTTTCCGGAAAAGTTTTTTTCCGGACAACAACCTCCTCCCCCCCCCCCGTCGCCAAAAAATTTTCGGTCAGTGTACCATTTTAGGGGTCAAAAAATTTTCCGGACAAGTAGATTGCACGCACTTTCCAGAGACTTTATCTCATTTTTTATCCATAATTTCGGTACTTAGCCCAATAAAACAGATATATTGTCCTTTGCGCGGAAATATTTAACACAGAAAAAAGACTGGGGCCCAACAAAAATTTTTCAGGGGCCCCCAGCACCTCGGGGCCCGGGGCCAATTTGCCCCCCCTCCCCCCTCTCGGCGGCTCTGTACTCCACCCCACCAATATGTCCGTCACTGGTGAGCGACCTTGCACTCGACATTTCGATACAACTATCTTTTAATTAATTCATGCAACCCATGAACAAACTGTTTGACTTTCTCTAAGAAATCCAAGACTGTTTTACGCACTGATGAAATGCGGAGCTCACGATCGAAAGCTTTCTTATTTAATATTGGACTTCTTGTGCAAATAAATAAATTCACGAGGGGTTGGGGCATCGGGGGGGAACAACGACAGTTAGCTGCCAGTCTGTTTCCTTTCCGGTTTAATTTGTCGGCAAAAGTGCTTGAAAAGTGAAAATTTAACCTACAAAAATGACTTGGCAAAATTTCAGTTGGCGACCCCCAAATAAAAAGGGTTTCCGCACCACCGGTCTCGCATCAAGAGCAACTATACTCGCTGTACATCAGTTCTACTAAACTACACGTTCTGGCTTGAGTTCTGCATGGTGTTGCAAATTATTTCGAAAATATATGTTCACTAAACTGCAAATTCCGGCAAAAATTTGAAGGCTTAAAATTAAACGCAATTTGAATTCGTATGTAGTGTTTAAATTAGAAGTTGTTTTACGAACTATCAAACATACGAAGACCTCAATGGGGCAAAACAAGGAAAAATTAGGGGTGAAAAGAAAAATTGCCCGATTCTTTTCGGATTTGCCCGACTGCACTCGAAAAGTGCAATTTGGAGTAACTTTTGGCATCCCCGTCGCCAAAACATTTTCAGTCAGTGTACCATTTTAGGGGTCAAAAAAATTTTCCGGACAACCAATATTTTTCGGAACATACACAAAATTTTCGGAAAATCACAAAATTTGCCAAGAAATTGACTTAATTTTAGACAAAATTTACAGAATTTGTCACATTTTTTTTTATTGCAAGCCAAAATTGCCCGACTGTTAATCGAATATTGCCCGACTGCCCAAAAAACTGGGGGGTCTGCCGCCCCCCCCGCCCGGTACGCCTATGTTAAAGACCTTACGATTTTAGGACGACAACGCGACGGCAACGGCTACCAATAGTATATACAGTAGATCATTGAAAATAATTGAGTAATTGCAATATATGAATAATTTAGACATTGTCCTCGCTCTGTTTACAACGCCAAATCACAGATTTTCACGTCTTGATACAACTGCTGCGGGCCAAGCTGCAACAAGTGCAACTTCAAACTGGGTTTATCAGAACTCTTCCCAACCATAAAACCCATGTCTTCAACTTCTAAAACTGTATTAATTTCATACGATTGATAATATACCACGAACTATATCTTTACTACCATTTATTTGAAGGAGTTTGTTTTGGCCGTCGCGTTGCAGTCCCTGCCTCGTCCCTCGTCGCTTCAGTTGGGAATAGAGATCAGTGCAAAAACATTGGGAGCGCGGTGCTTAATGGGAATGCGATAATCAGGACTGCTCAAGGAAAAAGTTATTTCGCTGACCTCAGAATGACATTTCGTCAAAAAAATTTTCTTCCGAAGATTGGTTTAGAAACAAACTTGGAGTTAGCCTGCATGGCAGGCGGTACGTAGGAAATTTCCTTTGCTTCCCTAATTTTCGCTGCCCGTAGAAATACCGCCTGCCATGCAGGCTAACTTGGAGTAGGGTTAGGTTAGAGTTAGGGTAAGGATTAGGGTGGGATTAGAGTTACGTTTTGTCACTCTGAGGCCAGCGAAATAGCCTCTTCCAAATTTAACGCGACCGCGCGTACGGATAACGGATGAGGGACTGTGGAAGAGTCAGTTGCAGTCCTAAAATCGTAAGGTCTCTATTAAATCCAACGCGCGCGACCTCATATTTTTGTCATATCAGCCTTTCACGCATAATTTATCACCCTACCATGACTGATGCATGACTGATTTTATGCATGATTGATTTCTTACATATACTCGTACATAGGGCAGGCTATGGCAATAAAGTCCAAGTTTTAAAGGTCGCGCATTCGAGTGAATGTCGTGAAATTGTCTAGTACTTTGATAGTTCATAAAACACCTTCTAAATTTGCACCCTTTGGCCTATGGTTCAAATTGCGTTTTCAGCCTCCATTTTTGTGCGCAAGCCATATTTTAAAGTGATTTTTAAAATTTAAAGTAGCCTTCCTGCACTCGAAACATAACCGTAAAACTTTTATAATTAATTAACATGTGTTGAAAAATTTTTAAAACATCTGTGTTGCATGAGAACATCTTGAAAACTGAACAGTGATACGGACAAAAACAAGACGTAAATTTAAATTTACGTCTAATTTACTCTTGTTTTAGTCCATATCTTACGTTGCAAGATATTTTTTGTTTTTGTTTTATACTTTATTCCTGAAATTATCGGCAAGTTCAGTGTTACTTCATGTTTACTCTAATAATTCTAAGAACCTTAACTGCTTATAATTTGTAACATGACACGCGCGTAATTTTCGAACTGACAATCAAAGTGACAAATTATCGTCGGGAACCCCCGCGGGCGAAAGGACGCAACGTGTCGACAAAACCAAACATTTTTAGTCTGATTTATAATTAAAACTGTAACAGTATTATTGAAATTTTCTCGTCTGAAAAGCTATTGAGTATTTTATGAATCGCTAAGCCCGCTAAAGTATTCTTTTGGACGAAAAGGGCTGAATTTCAACGTAATAATGCCTTTCTGTCGGACAACAAGTACATGGGCGACAAATATTTCAACCGAAGACGAAGGTCGTAAACAGTATGTAGTTCAACTCAAACGAGACGTAAACTGTTGCGAAGACAAGTACAAACTATTTGTTGACAACGAGGAGCGTGAAAACGACTTAACAGACAATCCTTGCAGCCCGCTTTGTTGTAAAGGAGGCTCTTATCGTTGGCAAGATCACGGCCACGAGTTCCACTTAGTCTACAATGCGTTATCCCTAACTGGTGTCGTTGGCAAGCATAGGCTGTTCATCGATGATGCCGATTGTAATACAGGCCGGGAATTTGGAGAGTTCTTTCGACGACGTGGCTACCAGTTTGTTGTATTTGGTTTCCTTATTCTACTTGCTGGTGTAATTTGGGCTTCGGTGTTTCGCTTTCTGCTGCATTCTGCGCCAGTATCTATCGTCGGCTATGGCTTCATCATAGCGGGGTTAATATGGATGATAACGGGCATTATCCCTGTGCTCAGATATAGGAATTCCAGAGCTGCCTATTCACAAGCACCTGCGGTACATTATGATGCTGAATGTCCAAAAGACGAAGGCGTACTTGATTTGTGAATTTTGGAGAAGCTATAGGATATTGATTTTACACACAAGCATAGCATTATAGAACAGAGAGACACTGTTCAGTATAACTGTGGATGTTTACATTTGTCAGTGCTGGTCATGGGGTATTCAGCATGTATTTGAAATATGAGTAGGTATGAATGCAGTTTATAGTTGATGTTGTACTAAACTGTATTAAAATTTTACAGCACAATCGGATCAATCCAGGTTGAAATCCGTCAATTTTTATGTTGGGGGTTAATATGCCAATAAGCCACAGAGCTGCTTATGCCATTGGCGTATGTCATATGACAGACAAGAAGCTATGAAGCGTTAAAGTTTATGCATGTTGGATTATAAATTGCCTGCACTTGATACATTTATTTCAAATATCAGTCTTATTCAAATATCTTCACAATACTACATAGAGACATCAAAATTGCCGATTCATTTTGTTCGGTAAGATTTATGCCACTGGTGTCAAGAATATTTTACACCAGAGGTATCCAGCATAACACCAACCAATTCCAACCTGGGGATGAACTGAAGAATACAACCCCTTATAAGCTGATTCTCTGTATTCTACTCCGGGGATAGTACAATGCATGAATTTGTGCATCATAAATATAACTGGCATTATCAGCATTTGGCATAATATGCAAATAAAGCCCTTCTAATATATTGTGATTTTTGAAGCGAGTCATGTGTTCCTACATTGTGGAATATCTTGCTTCTAATGACCAATAGGCAACAAGAAGCAAAACGTATTCCTCACACAACCAATGAATGGACTTATTAAGATTTCTACGGCGTAAAGTTACATGTGGATATGAACAAATTTGCTTTAGTAAATATTAGTTATCAAATATTATGCTTGTCTCATTACATACTGTAATTACTTAGCCTACTCTGACTATTTTATCTTTTACAACAATTTTGGTGATATTACTTTTTACTGTATTCATCCTAACCCACTTTGTCAACTTTCCCTGTGGGAGGAAACCAGAGCACTCATGTATATGCTAAGCCTTCTAATGTCCAACATAGGTAAAAATTTAACAGAATACCCCAGTTTCAAGAGTTCAGTGTCTGTATCTTCTAAAGACTTAGGAAGAAATCTTAGCTTTGTGTTGCCTGTAGTCTTAAGAAGCAAGATAATTCAATTATTTCACCTCAACAATAGAAATTTATATATTGTGGGAATGGAAGCTCAAAGCATTCCACTTTGTGTTGCCAGTTGCCTATTTAGTATTAGTCTCTTGAATAATACAAGCATATGTATTGTGGTTCCAACCTGTGCAAACATTCCCCCATTCATGTTGCCCATTTGGTCTTAAGTAAAGAAGCGAGATGTTTTGCTCCTTCTACCTCAAGATTTGAAGCATATGTATTGTGGAATGGAAGCGAAGCATTGCCATTGCCATTGCTTGTATGGAAATCGAAATGTTTGCTTTTCTTGTTGCCTTTTTCTTGGTTGTGTGAAGCAAGAGGTTTCGCTTCCACAGACACAATATAGGAATACTTGACTCACTTCAAAAGACAAAGTACATTAGAAGGAATTTATTTGCATATTACGCTTAATTAGTTTTCCCAGAAGGAACAAGGCAGTTTAATACAGTGCTAACTTATTGAGGGTTGCAATTTAACAAACCAATTCGGTGTTTCCACTGCGCATTGAAATGACACACTCTGTGTTGGGATAACTTGCAGTTGAATTATAACATGTGGCTGAGACTGGATGAATATGCATATCAGATTAGAAATATGTATTCAGCTGTTCAGTCATTATCTGTGTTTCACTGAATAGCCACAATAGAACTGTGGTTAAATCATTTTTGTAGTTAGGCTGAATATTTGGTCTTCTTTGTAAAGCAAAATATAGAAAGGTTCACTTAAGTCTTAAGGGATTTTATGTTCTAATTTAAAGTGAATCAACCATGCAGAATTAATTTCTTTTTGAGCAACTTTTTGCGTATTGAAATGATTGAACAGTTGAATATTTTGATATGTATATTCTAATTCTTGCAGTATCAGCTACATGTTATAGCTCAACTGGAATTTATCCTAACACAGAATGCGCAGTGGCGTAGCCAGCCCGACGATTTAGTCCCGCTATGCAAATTCAAACTTATTATCATTATTCATTTAGTTTAGAAATAGATTGTTTTTACAGTCAATGAACACGAAAATATTTGCATAGCGGGACTAAATCGTCGGGCTGGCTACGCTACTGAGAACGCGTCGTTTAGATGTGCAGTGGAAACTCTGAATTTTGCCTTATACTTTAATAGATTTGATTGATCTTTAAACCCGTTGAGTGGCAGCACTCTCCCCCTGACAACCAGGGGCCGGTTGTATAAAACTCTTAATCACTTTTTTAATCACTATTTTGTAGTTAAATAGTGATTAATTCTTAAATAGACGCTTCTTATTGGATGACGTTTCCACTTAACTATAGTTAACTTTAATCACTTTTTTATACAACCGCCCCCAGGTCATCTCGTGTTCGTATTTTAGCCAATCAGCGCTCAGAAAGAGTTGTCCGAATAGAAATCCATTTTGATGTATTCAGTCAATTATATCTTTCGTTATTCTTTATGAAACTAGTTGAAATTTTGTAATTATGTTTAGTTATGAGAACTATAGCTCTGACAAAAATATGGAATCGAAATAAAGCATATTACAGGAGGTATTCAGTTGTTTTAATCATAAAATGGATTTCTATTTGACAACTAGTGCCAGTACTTTTCCGCTTATCAAGATCATCTGGAAGTAAAATCATCTGGTGTTAGACAGAGAAAACATGTAAAATAACAAAGTAGGGCGCATCTGGGCACATTGCCACTTAAAGGGTTAAAGGCCGATTACACTACACATCTTTTGCCTAAAACTGTCACATGCAACTTGCTTATAATTTGAGTTGTACTGTGTAAATCAAGCAAACAACTCGCATACATAATGTCGTACGTGACTTGTGTGCTTGATTTACATGAGTTAACAACTCATGTTGTTAGCAGGTTGAATGCGACAGTTTTAGGCAAAAGTTGTGTAGTGTAAATTGGCTTTAAGGTATAGTTCAAACACCATGCCAGGAAGACCTGGCTATAACCATAGAAATAGCTATAACCAGGTTTTGTTTGCCTTGGTTGGGCTGTTTATCATTTGCTTTGCAAGAGACCAGCTTATAGGTAGCTAACCTTACTTAATAATGCATGGATAATAGCAAGTGTAATTCTTTTAGTAGTTAACTGCAAAAATTCACATATTCAGTAGCTTCTGCCATTCATTTTCAAACCAACAACCCAATAAATTCATGTTACACATGAGGCAATGGGACATGCAGCACATTATGTGACAATGAGCCATGTTTTCTACCATGAGCTCCATATATATATCTGGAGTGAGAACTTGAGTCCAAAATGTGAAGCCATCATGATCACAGAATAGACTACACAGAAACCCGATTTCTTGGTTTTTCCTATGATTTTCCAATTATTTTGGCGTATATAACCGTAATTCGTCATCCAAATGCTGACGCCATGGTCCTAGCCAGTGCACGTTTGAGAGGCATTCACCCCCTGAAAATATTCAAAATGGCGGACGTCCAGGGGGTTAATGCCTCTGATAAGCGCACTGGCTAGGCCCATGGCGTCAGCATTTGGATGTTGAATCATGGCGTGGCAGCGGTTAATACTCGAGTCGACCTTCTGTATGTCTTTATTCTGTGCCAAGATGATAGAAGTTGAAAAGTATATTTGAACCTCAGTTTCAGTCTCTATTGTTTTTGTCTGCGCGGTTAACACGAAGCTGGCAAGGAGTGTGCCGAAATTTCATATTTTGACATCGATTTAAAGAATAACACTATCATGGCTTTATTAGCCTGCGTGGCAGGCTCATTGAAGGATGAGCTTTATAAACTAATAACTTTTTTAGCGATACGGATTACGGTCCGTTAGAAAAAACTGTTATTAGATGTAGCTGGGAAAATGATATTAAAACTGTTTACGACCTGCATAGCTACAGTTATAATATTGGACTTTTCCGCAATCTTGAGATTCTTGGCTTCACTTTTCTCATGGCCATGGGCCAAATGCCTGAAGTTCTTGCCACAGGTACATATAAAGCTCACTAGTTTTCTACTAAAAACTAGTTGCAAGGAGTTATAAGCGTGGCCAACAGTTTACTCTGACCAAATTTGTATCCCATGCCTTTCACTCTTCATCTCTTAAACGCATGTTCTATAAACAGCTGGGTTCTCTGCGGTCTTTGAAATCCTTGAAAGTCTTTAAATTTGAATGCAGGTCTTTAAGGTCTTTGAAAAGTCTTTGAATTGTGTGAAAAAGCGAAGAAAGTCTTTAAATTCTTTAGTATTTGATTATACGATTTCCTAGCTAATAAAATAGATTGATTGAAGCAAGATTTTCGCAAATATCGACGAAAAGGTGCATTTTAGGATGTGATTTGACGGGACTAATTACCGGGTAAAAATGGTACTTACACTCGCAATTTTTCGACAGCTGATTGCTCTCAAAGGTCTTTGAAAAGTCTTTCAAAATAGGCAGAAAAAATCTTTGAAAGTGTTTGAATTTTTTTGGTCTTCGAGACTACGAACCCTGTATAAAAGAAAGTGTCGACAGAGTACAATGTGGGCCATGCTCACATTTGGCTCATACAGTATAAACACAGGCTCTCTTGCCATCCTACTTTTCCTACTTTTTCCTACTTTTCTTCAACTTTCCTACTTTTCCTATTTTTTATTAAAAATTGCTTGATTTTCCTACTTTTTCCTACTTTTTCTCATAAAATCCTACTTTTTTAAGACAGCTTGGGGAATCAGTATGTTATAGCTCTCGTAATTTGATCTATAGGACTCGTAATTTTTATTCCCTATTTGTGTCGCAGATGATAAGATCTCAGGAGGAGAAGAAGTACATTTTCCGAGTATAAAATTTCATAGCATCTCTAGAATCATAATCAATAAATTAATGAAGACTCTGAAAGTGCCATTTCCGACGATCTAGAGATTCCAAATATTCAACTCCCCCCTCAGTTAATCAAGCATCATATATACAGGGCCGTAGCAACTGGAGGGGGGGGGGCTGCAGCCCCCAATAATTTGCTAATAATATTTTTTTTCAAAATCATGCAGACCTTTATCATTTAGTCCATGACAAACTGCAAAGAATGAAGATATTACCCATAGTTTTCTGCATTAACTTATCTAATATATAGTTAATTAAATACGTCTTCGCCCATTTAGTGCTACTAATTTGTAAATTTCGACATACTAAAACGCTGTTTCTGACCATTAGAATTCTGTCAAATCTTCCCCAAAGTCCAGGAAATGGCATTTCAGAGACTCTAAATTTAAAAATTTCCTTGGGCCTTTGGCGGCCCTTGCTTACAGCCCCCCCCCCCAATCGAAAAGAGCTTCCTACGGCCCTGATATATGCTCCTGCCGCAGTGTGGATTGGTGCATTGTGTAGCCCAATACATGCATTTGAATTGTGTTGCTGCAGAGCAGATGCCTTAGCTTTTATACCTATACAATTTAAAAGTTTTGAGAAAAAAATCCTGCATAGATGAATGAGTACATAAAAATATTGAGCACCAAAAATTCACACAACTTCCCCATCAGATATCTAATGGTCTACCCCTTACCACATATATCCTAGGGGCCAATTTTGTATATTTTTGTGTTATTTGCATCTCCAAAACTCCTACTTTTCTCCTACTTTTCTACACATTTTCCTACTTTATTCCTACTTTTCCTAAAATTCTAGTCCTACTTTTCTCCTACTTTTCTACACAAGGATGCCAGAAAGCC